GATAATGTTGAGGATGGTGATGATAGCGATGATAGTGATGATTAATTGAAACATCTGTATTATTACTTATTAAATATATGTATTAAAATTTCTTTGTCTTACATATATTGTTTTATCAAGTTATACATTTTTCATTTAAAATAGAATCATTATATGATTGTTCTAAATTTGTTACTTATTATTTGTATAAATGTAGTAATAACTATTTTGTTATTCATTTTTCAGGATGTCTGGAAATCTTGCAGGTTCAGCAAGGAGGAGATCTTCCTCCTCAGGATCACAAGAGCAACACAATTTTAATCACCCACAACTGTTTACTGATAGTAGCGTAGCTCCGGATATACAACTAATGATTGACCCATTAATGAATTATACTTTTGCACCTGATCATGAGAACGAGGGCCCTTCATCCTTGACGGGGAAATGGGTTAAACTCACTGATGATAAGCTTCAGTTTGCTGATCCAAACATCCCTCGGGCTATCACTTCACTATGGAAGTCACGTTTGATGGCCCGTATTTCACATTTGAGCGTGTCCCCCAGAGCAAGATTGCTGAAATTTATAATTGTTTCAAGGTAAGATTCAGTTTTAGCAAATTTAATAAAATGAATGGATTTAGCAATTTCTAATAAAAATAAATAATTTCATTACTAAACTAGAATTTACATTTCTCAGACATCTAATGTTATTTATTTTTTATTTTGCAAACACTTTACCAGTGGGATCCTGCAGATAATCACCATGTGCGAGATGCATTCCTAAATTGTATGAAACATAGATGGAGTGACAATCTCAGGGATGAGAAGTTGAAATGGGACAAGAACTCAGCCTATGTCCCATGTTGGATCCCAACTCATATATGGCCTCAACTGCTGACATATTGGGACTCTGATGAATCTAAGAGGCTCAGTGCAAGGGGAGCAAAGAATAGGAGCTCTGGGGAAATGGTGACTCACACCACTGGATCCGTTAGCTTTGGCATCCATGAGATGCGGATGGTAATCAAGCTTAATTAATAAAAAATTTAATATATTAGATTTTATTTAATATTAAATTGTGTCAATTTATACTAACCAATATATTGCATTATCATTATCAATATTTTGAAATATAGACTGAGTCTAGAGGTGGTGTGTAACCTCCCCATCAGGAGAAATTCAAGGAGACGCACACCTTAAGAAAAAAGGCGGGAAAAGATCAAGAGCCATCGTGGATCAATGAAAAAGCAAAGTATCGATATGTAAGTATATATAACATATAAATTAGCATAAAATGTATAGTTATAAGTGTGAAAAAATTTTATGTAATTAATCTAAATTATTTAGCAAAGTCTACTTTTTTTTTATAGATTCTTTTCAAACTACTTTTGACAACATTATTACTATTATTATTATTTTTTCAGGATACTTATGTTGCTGCGGAATGCACAGATAGTCATGGCTCTGATGCTAGTTCGTGGCCACGCATGGATAACGAGGCATGGGTTAAGGCTGTTAGAGGTTGCTCATCTAATTTCATGCCAGGGATTGGCTCCCAAGTAAATCCAGAGATGGTTGGTTTTACTTACAGAAAGAGACAACCCCAAGAAAACTTAATAGCAGCACTGATGGCGTCTGACTATGAGGAGACACAGGCAAAAGATCATGAGGAGTTAGAAAGACAATGCCAACAAATTGCTTTGATGCAACAGCAGCTGGCCAATATGACAGCAGCTCAGAATAATATGAGCCAGACAATCGCACAGTCTGTTGCAGCAGCTCTAGCCGCTCATGGCATCTCCCCTCAGGCAGGTCATCATCCAGTTGCCCCACCACAGC